TAATCTTTGCTTATTTAATACTTTTTGTTTTGGGTACTTTAAAATGCACCCTTTTAAATGGCGCCCCGGGTAACCGCCCTGCCTCCCTTTGTTACGTCACAGCCAAACCACATTATACTTCCGGCAAAATCCCGGAAGTGATTTGGTGAAATGTCTGAAGATGACGATGGCTTTTAATCTATTCAATATCTTTGAAACTTCAAAGATGCCTAGATCTAAAAATAGTGCTAGGAAAATTTCCAGAAATACTTTTATAAAATGAAAAGTGATTAATGTTTGCTGTTTGTTTGGCTTTCTTTAGAAACGTTTCATACTATTTTTGGTGAAAACTTCAGAAATTTAATAAATAAATTCATACATATCAGATGCTATTGGTGGTGCAAGTACTTTTAAACGGATGCAAAGTTGATAATTTATTCAAGGATGTCGTTTGTTTGGGCCAGTAGTTTATTGCGAACTCAAAATATCAAGCCAATCAGAAAGAAACCTGGTGAGAATTGTCAAAAAGATGTTTGCATGTGACATTTTTGTGGTTGATGTGTCTATAAGTAAACAAATTTGCGAGCAAGTATTTTGTACAGTCTGTACTGGTAGTATGCACATTTTTAATAAAAAAAAATTCACATTTTATTCACATAAGTTTTCTTAAAATCGTATAATTTTTAACTAATTTAATAGTCATATTTCCTCATATAAATTAAAATAACATATTCATTAGTTTTAGATAAGTTGTTAATTAAAACAAAAAACTATATTTCATTTTTAATGTATACAATTATTAATTTGCTTGATGTATCACGTTTGAGTCAACGAAAATAATACTAAATTATATATAAATAAAAATACTAAATTACCTAGTTTAGTTAGTCATAATTGAATCAGTATCATGATTTTAACATCTCCAACAAACCAGCCCCATTACGACGCTGTCATCTTCTCGTCAAACTCTGGAAAAGATTTGACTATAGCTAACAGCTTGATGACGCTAATAACGGATAATATTAAGATAGGTGATGACCACGGAACTAACCATGACGTCAAAATTTGCGTGTTTCACGATAATTTCCACAACAAAACGAACGTAAATATGAGTAGAATAAATCTGGCTTTAGATAGTTCTTCACTCTATTTCATAATCTTAACCGAAGATTTTATATCCGAACGTTTGAACACCGAATACTGCTGTTGCAACGCTATAATGGATACATTGGAGAACGAAACAAAGAGAATTATACCAGTTTTTTATAGAAATGATGAAACGATCAAAACGTTCATAAATGAGATTAAATATTTTAGACTATTAGTTCCTCTCCATCTTGAAGACATTTTTGAAAACAGAGTCGTGAATGAATTTACGAAACCAAAATGGAAACAAACCTTTGAGCCAGTAGTTCAGGCCAGACTTACTAAAGAACGTACAGCTGATGACTGCAGCTTGTACACAATTAACGAAACAGGTTGTGATGCCTTACATAACAAAATCATGTCTTTTTAACATTATACTATTTTATATTGCAAACTCGTAAACAGATAGCAATGAAAGAAGTATTGAATATTCTTTTAGCAGGTAATTTTTGAATGTTTTTCATGCATTAATTTATATCTTAGTCTCTGACAATCAATTAAATTTGGTTTTTCACTACCAGTTTTTCACTGGAAGAAGATGAAACTTGTGAGCAAACTTCATCAGGTTCGAGTCTTTTTATTATTCGTTCCTACTAAAATGAAACTTAACGTGGCATTTAAATTTCTGCGGTAATTTTATTTTATTAACAGCAAACAATCACTCAAACTCTCGGAGTAGCTCGCTCCAGGTGACAGATTCAGTGAATTCTGCTGCACGTGAGAGGATGGAATCTGTTGCTGGCAACGACCACTCCGTCACTGACATCGTCAACAATAAAAATACTGGCGATGTTAGTACAGTCAATCGGCCAACTACATCCGTCCCCGTTAACAACACAAGAAACCACACTGACACCGTTGCCAAAAGCGATTCTTCCAATAGTACTAAGCAGGATCGTCTGGGCATTGTTGCCCAAATCGTTAGCGTTAGAGGTGAAAGTTCAAACTTGAACGTAGATGAAACTCAAGTCAAAGAATTGGAAGAAAATTGAAGAAAGCCGGCTGTTTGCCTGAGATGCAAGTTGTTCATGCCTCTCTGCAAGCTATGTACCTCATTTGAGGCCATTTTGTTAATAAAATTTTTAAAAATAAGTTGAGTTTTTAAAAATTTATCAAAGAGATCTGTTGCGTTTGAACCGATCCCATCACGCACGTACGACTTGGCGTTTCGGTATATATGTGCGTAAAAGTTTTTGTGCGGGCTGATGCCAAATTGTGTACAGTTCCTTGAAATTTTGGGTTTTAAGAATAATTAAAACAATTTCACGCTTAGTATTCTAGTTATATTTTTGATGTTATATGTTTATATAAACAAAATTACATTCTTCGTGACAAAGATATTGAACCAGAGATTTTTAAACTTTAAAAATCTTTTGGTTTTGTTATCAACCTTGACAATAAACAATAATGAGCGATAATAGAGAACCTACTATCGTTTGAAGTAGAAATACCGAAAAATAAAAAACTTTTGCAGATAACTGACCGGGGAATCCAGATTCCCAAATGGCAAGTCGGGCTTCGAAGGCACGAATCTTATACAAAACTATCTTAAGACTGCACCGTGGTCTGCCAGCCGAATTGAAGGAGTTCGGAGACCGGTACGTTAGGGACGAATTCAAAAGACACAAAACAGCCGAATCTCAATTCGTACCGACATTTTTCAAAGAGTGGACGGTTGGTCACCTGTATCACTTTCACACAATATTTTTTCATTTTAACTTTGGCTAATCATCAATGAAAAGAAGAAAGTAGGCCTAGCTAGCCCTAACTAAGGCCTGCCTAGAGGTGCATGTAGCATGAAGTATTATAGTTAAAAACCTCTAATTCATTTTTTCAGCTTGTCATGTTCAATTATTTTAAATTTGAAACTTGCAGAGATATGCCAACACCCTATCAAAACAGATAGGGAAATCAGCAGCCAATGAGAAGCTGGGCCTGGGGTTCAGCGAAGAAGAACTGAACAAATTGAATGAAGAACAGGTAGGCCAGTTGTTTGAACTTTACCAAGAAACACAGAGAGTCCAAGGAAAAGATGTCCCAGAAATTTCAACAATAAAGTCACAATTGAAAGAAGAGACTAACAATAATAATAAAATAAAATGAAACAAAGTAGATATGGTTAAACTATTAGGATAATTTTTGTCTGTAATTGCTGTTGTATCAATTGTTTTATAAAATTGTAAATTGTATAACCAATAAATAAACAAATTTTTTTTTTTCAATTCTTTCAAAACAAAATTTTAAAATATTAAGAGTTAGATCTCACACGCAACGACGATGATTGTATACTATTAAGTTTGTGCCACTTGAATATTATGAAACACCTGGCTAGCATCTTCAAGAGCTTCTAAGTCACCTACAAGTTTCAAGGCAACATCGACATTTTCCTTCTCGATGTTAACAAATGTATGGGGTATATGCTCCAATCTGGCTTCGTACGGATGTAGGGATAAGTCTATTAGAGATTTTCTCACTTGGTGCAATTCTTTTGTTTCACATATGAACTGTGTGGTTGGTTATTTATAAGAATTAAATTTGGTTGAAGATTGAATTTTTGTAATCGGCCGTTTTATTAACTATTAGTAAAAATATGTGAAAAAACATAAATTTAATTGGTTTAAACATTTTTTAGAAAACTGTTTTAAGATTTTTATCATTAATAATTGAATAAATTGATGTAAATTTTAAGTGTAGTTCAGCCCAACTAACTTTAAATATCTTTTCATCATTCTCATCTGAGTCTTCCACGACCTCTTCAGCACCAGCTTCAATGGCCAATTCAAATGCTTTGTCATAATTTAGGACTCGTGAGTTGTCCGTGCTCGTTCCGGGTACGTAAATAACTCCTTTGTAATCAAACATGTGGCAGCAGGAACCAGCATCTGCTATTCTCCCACTATTGAAATGGATTATTAACCAATATATTTGAATTTATTAATATTCTATCTACCTTAACTGTAATATTAAGTGCTGTTTACTATAGGTAATACCCAACATTAAAAGTGAGTTACTTTTAACTTGAAAGTAACTCAAACGCCAGTTGCCAGGTTCATAATAAATATCAAGTGTTTAATATTATTTCCCAAGATAGTTGAAAATTTTAAACATCTTTAAATGTCAAGAGATCAATTTAACCCATAAGTTTTTAAGATGTGTTGGACAGACTGTCTGAACCATTTTGGTTTATCTGAGAATGACTCGACAATGACAGAACAACCTGACAAAGCTCTGCCCTCCACAAAAAACTGAGGTCCTTTCTTAACTTTTGCCTGATCCTATTATTAAATTATTCACTGGGGTAGCATGATCAAATAACTAGTTTCATTTTATTATTAATTTGCTGAATTTGTGCAACTGATTTGAGAAAAAGTTTTTTGCAAAAATCTTACAAATCGTTGCAGTGCAGTATTTATCGTAGAAGATGGTATATCTTTGGCTTTGGCTTCCTCTAGAACTTTTGCCAAAAAAGAGTTTAGCTTTGGATTGGTTGATCCATTTCCTTCTATTAAAAGTAAAATAAAATCTAACATGGTGTAATTTTTGTATAAATTTATCTCTTATCAAGTCTTTACTACAATGAAATAATAAGCATTACAATTATTATCAATCATTAAATTAAATAATTAAGTAAAATTGTAAACAATAATAATAATATATGTTTAAACAATTATGTAAAAATTGATATGATATCGTACTATAATAAATAATGCTGAAAGGAATTCAAGAGTCCTTATATTTACAAGACCTTGTACAGCAATTTTGATTTTCCGGATAACCAAGCTAAAGGTTTTTTGTTTCTGGGCATCTTTCAATTCTTTTGTCTCCTTTATATTTTTCCAATGGCTGTGGCCGGCATACTGTTTGCTTTGTTGGAAGCAGCTGGCAAAACATAAAGATGATCTTTTTTGGTTTGTTATATAAAATAATAAAATAAACAATAAGATAAATAACAGATAATGATAACACAAACAACTTTAACATGATCAGTATGAGTAAAATAAACTAAAGACTACTAAATAAACTTTCTAAAATCTAACTAAACTGAAATGTTACCTTGAAAAAACATACTCACCAAATCTTTCACTTCATAAAATTAACATAATCAAAATACACAACAGATGATACAACAACCAACACTAAAAGACGGAAGAAACGTCTGCCAACAAACTAAACAAAAGTAAAACTAAAATAAAACAAAAATTGTTTAACAAACCAACTGCAAACAGTACACAAATTTCATACAGTAACAAACAATTAAAAATAATTGACAACTAACGTGGAAGTGTCATTAAATAAATGTTTGCAAAGTTTAGCTACAGGATCGTTAAAATATTTCAAGCTAATGATAGATTTGCTACAAAATCTCGACATAATTTTACTTTGCGGAAAGTGTTTACTTGATTATCGTTAATTTAGACAATAGAAATAATAACAATGATAACTTTGTGAGGATTTTCAGATTTCCATGGCAACAGATTTGTAAATTAAAAAATGTCTCGACCCGCTGCTAAATCGAAACACGAACGCAAACAAGCAAAAAATTTGAGAAACAAATTAAATGAATTTATTCCGGGAACCACTTGTACAGAAAATGAATGGTTTAATCGTTTGTATTTTTCTTAAAATTAAATTAATTCAGCTTTTTTAATTTTTAGCTAGAAGTCTATTCTACTTCTACTACTATCCACTACTTTACACATGTTACTCAGTACCAATTTTTTATTTTAATCTATAAAAATGTGATATTTTCACCTTCATTTTTAAAAGAAAATGATTATATTTATGAAAAATTAATTATTCGTAACAGGAATCAGGTACTTGAGAGGGAGCAATCAAAAGAAGTTATCTCGAAGCTAATGGATGATTTCAAAGAGCAGTTGAACAATAGACTTCTGTACAGAAGTATGGAACTGTACAAATACAAATTCGCAGTTGAACTTTTTCAAAAAGATATAATTCACATGTTTGAAGTTTGTTTTTACTACCTCGTTGTCTAAAAAACGTTATTGAAGTTTTACTGGCAATAATTTTATCTGCATATTAATGTAGTGGAGTCATGCTGAGAGAGATAAAGAAGTTGATGGTACATACTTCATAGACTTAGACGATTTCGGTTAGTTTTTTTGTGATAAAATTTTATAGCATATTCAAATGTGCTGGATTTTAGAATTAGTATGTAAAAATAATATAATGTATAATCCTTTCAATATTTCTTTCATTCAAGAACCTGCTTGTTTAATGACTGATAACATTGCTAGAGGATCCGTCGACTTAAAATATTCAGGTAAAGTCTACAACTATCCCTCTCACAATTTAGGAGAATCAATAGTTTCTAAGAGTTACTTTGACAAAGGGTAACTGACATTATAAATTGTGTTTATAGTACAAATTTCTATTCAAATTTTATATAAAAAATGAAAATTTTCGAAAAAGAGAGAGTCTTGCTGATGATTTCAAAGAAGATACGACGTCAATTTTGAAGGAAAATGAACCAGATGAAAACAAAAACTTGGATGACGAAAAAGATAAAAATCTTGGCACAAAAACATCAGATGAAAAACAAGCAGATGATCAAATTATAACCGCATCTGATAAAACAAAATGTGAAAAATACACGACGGTTGAGAAAAAGAAACCCAGTGGAACATTTGTTGCAAGCGAATTGAGATCTCTGAAAAAAACTAAAAAATCTTCCTTAAGTGACAGCGAGAAACAAATGAATAACATCATATCTAACATTGAATTAAATTTAGTCCCAGAACCCAAATCAATCACTAATTTTCATTTAAGAGAAGAGATTATAGGGGTATGTTGTGTTAGAAGTTTGTTAATTTTTAATTGCCTAAGTGTAATCATATTTATTAATTCGTTATATCATGATAAAATTTCATAGCAACGTAATATGAACTGATAATAAATTGAACGTAAGGTTGATCAACCCAGCCTAAGAAATGCTCTTGCAACACACACAACCCATGAAGCCATCGCAGAATCCAACACCGACAAAATTGTCAAGAACTTCGATTTCAGACCTCAGGTAATTTACTGAAAATACATTTTTCGTCAACTTTTTAGAATATCATTTGTAACAAAAATTTTTCACCCGTTCAGAAAACCATCACACAATGCCACAAAGAGATAAAAACAAAAAAACCAATCACAAACCTCCTCGACAACAGGTTCTTCTTACGTTACATCAATTATTTCATGCGTAATTTCAAATTAAAAAAAAAAAATTTTCCAGAGTGAACACTAAAGTAACAATCACAGAGAAAAACGTAAAAGAACTTCAAAAAGAATCCATACTCAACCCTATAAAAAGTATTTATATAAATACTCGACGTATAAACGCTGAAAAATTTTAAATGAATGCCTTCATTAAAATGATTATTTATTGAATAGATCTAACAAAAGTTAAAAGCAGGCAGTACACATTTGTCTCGAACGTACAGAGTAAAGAATTACCAAATGTTCAACCGTGCTTAAATATGGTAAGAATTTCATAATAAATATTTATGGCCCGACTGTGGTCTGATTATATTTACGAAATATTGATCTTAAACTAAATCAATTCACAAAGATAGATGCAATTAATCCGTCAAGAGGCGTGACAATAACGCATTTGAACAAATCAAAAACAAATCCATTGAAGGTTAAACGAAGAATTATCACAAACAAAAGAAACTAATTTACTCTCTCTCAAAAAAAAAATAAAATTTGTTCTTATTCATCCCTTATAGGTCGAAGCAGACAACATGATGAGTAGGGCGAAGATGAGAGGACTAAAATTCGTTGACAACGTGAATGATGACTTGTCACAATTTGTTGAAACAAATATCAGAGTCTCAACTCCAAAGCAATATAGTTTATTTCCTCCGATAAATGATCCAAAATTATGATTCGGAACATAATTATTCATTTTTATTTTGTCAAATATGACTAATTTTGGGAATATTGAGTTTTTATCTTCACAGGTTTTGACACGTTATAAAAATTCTTGTTCAAATGTGAATAAATTTATAATTCGTTTTTTACTTCTACATCTGTGATATCGACGACTAACTCGATGCCAGGGTACTCAGGTAAGTTAAGTTGGTACTTATTTGCAAGTTGCGGCGGAACGAACCGGCCACCTAAAAAGTGTTTTCTGCCTTTGAAATGTTTTGCACATAACTTTGGGGCTGTTAGTGAGACCAACACATCTGGTTGAATGCCATCTGGGTTGCCTGATTCAATGTTCCAACCTAGAGTTTAAGATATTATTTAGGATTTCAGAAAGTATTCATTGATATAAATTAGGATATTTAATGGATAAATCTAGAACACATACAGACTGATTAGTTTATTGATAAAAAAGTTATGAGATTTTTTTTTTGAAGAATTTAAAATTAGACATCCCATTGGTATCAAATATTAAAAATCATGAATAATGAATAAATAAATAGATATACTTAAAAAAAGTAGGTGTTACTAAAACAAAATTTTTACAGTACCTGAAGGAACATCAACACTTAAGATAGGTAACTTGCTGGAGATAAGAGAAGAAATAATATCAGCAAAGTGACCTCTGGGAGGTCCAGTGAAACTAAACCCAAATAAAGCATCCACAATGACACTGTAATGTTTGCTCATTTCAGTAGAGTTTGGCAGCTTTTCTAAAAATGGTATTTCCATTTTGTTACACTGAGTTGTCAGATTGTGGTAGAGAGGTCTGTCTGTTCTTTTTGGATAAAATATGGCTGGATTGTAACCCTTTGTAAATGAATTAAAAGAAAATTTTTCAGATATAGCAATTAATGATTAGTTGAAATTAATTCATCATGAACACCACCTTCATTCTCATCCTCATCATGTTCAAAAATCAAAAAAACTAACAAAAAGTTTCAGATGTCTGGCACATACAAGACCATCACCTCCATTATTCCCTGGCCCACAAACCACAAGAACATCACTTTCCTTCTTATCTTTGTAACTCTTCAGTTTTTATAAAATCAAAATTCATTTCATCAATTCTACAAGTGTATCAAATTGACTGTAGGTTAATATTATACAATTATTAAGTTATATTATATTATGTTGAAATAATTATTCTTTTTAATTAACATTTATTGATTTACTTTGGCAAATGACACAGCACAACTCTGTCCTGCTAACTCCATCAGCTGATCTACACTGTATTCATATTCAGTGAAGAGTTCCTGGTCTATATCTTGGGCTTCTTTCTGACTGATGTTGAATAAATCATTGTTAACTAATTATTCAGCAAATCTTCTTAAGCATGGTTAGCACTACTTATGATATGATACGATATTATAATTTTATTATATTATTATGATTTAATAATTAATTTAAGAAGAGGCTATCTTGTTTAATTTAATGTTTATTTCTAAAAATAAAAAAAAATACATTGATAAATGAAATGAACAGACTTCAAGTATTTCATCCCACTGGCCGTTGAAAAATGCGCAAATGAAGTTCTAATCACTAAAGAGGACGTCAGGCAGAGGAGAATTTGATTGGCCGTTGAAAAAGAAAATAAATTTGTTCCACAGGAGAGACCTTTCAACAACAACATCAGGCAGTAAGAAATTCAGTTTTTATTTAAATTTTAATTGTAATTAATAATTTCAATCCAACTCATATCACAATCCGTTTTCAACCGATTTGCTATTTATATTAAAAAATAAAAAAAAACTGGCCATCATAGTTTTCTAACTAAAAGTAAAAAACAAAACCGACATGAACCGTTTCTTAGACTTGGACAATGAACCGAATCGGTATGTCGCACTTCTTACTGTTTGGTTAGCCAAGAAGCTGAAAATTTTCAATAAAACATGAAAGATTGTCTAAAAATTAAATCTATCTTACTGAAAAAGCAAATAAAACATGAAACATTGTTTAAAAATCAAATCTACTTTACTAATTTTTAGTTTGTTTCTATTTCAGATGTCAAGAAGCGACTGAAACCTCCGAAACGTGGGATCATAGTCACCACTAAATCAGGTTTTCATCTACATTTAAATTTACGACATTTAACGAATCTAAGTATATGTTTAAAATACTTTAAAAGTAGTCTTATTATTTATCAATACTCTTCAGGTTAAAGGATTTTTAAAGCAAAAAACAATTAAAATACTGTCAGGATTATTTAGTTTGTTAACACGGTTTTATTTTATTGCCCAGTCAGAAAACTGAGAAAACCGACCCAATTATCATGAATATTCATTTATTATAAAATTCCTTAAAAATCACGAAAATGGTAGAGAAAAAATAGTGACTTATTACCATACTAATAGTATAAAAAAGGTTTCTTCATTTATGAGAATCATTAAAAATAATTAATTAATTAAAATATAAATCTAGAGGCATTCAACAAAAGGCACATTAAAAATTTGAGAATTAATCATTACAAAATAATTAGGAATCATTCTCTAAAATGAAATTCGCTCAATAGAAAAACCATTTCTAACAAAAATTCGATAGTCTGTCTTATAGTTAATTGAGTGAAAAGCATACACGAATTCATGATTAAATGAATGAATGGATGAATGAATGAATGGAAAGATGAATGAATGAACAAATGTATAAATAGTAAAAATTATAAATTATGGAATATAAGGTTGCTGGATTCACATGAGTTTAATATCAAAACTACATATAATAAATGTATATAAAATATATGAGACTAAATTATAGATATATATATATATTTATGGTTGTAAAATTATTCATTGTTCCTAGAATGTATTGATTGGCAGTACAAAAGAAAGAAATCTCAATCATGGTTCGTGAAATCTGAAAGCATTGATAAAAAAAAATTTAAACATTCAATTTTCATAATTAACAACGAAAAATATGACGTTTACTGAAGAAATTAACGATTAATCAGAGATGGTGTAATGATTAGAAATGCCTGATTTTGTGCCGCAGTAACCTGGTTCGAATCCACATACATCCACTTTTTAGCATAGGCTAGATATATGTTTGATTTCACTTTCACATGCATTAACAAACGCTCTCTCTCTCTCTCTCTCTCTCTCTCTCTCTCTCTCTCTCTCTCTCTCTCTCTCTCTCTCTCATTCTCTCTCTCCTCTCCTCAAGTCTCAGAAATACAGTAAGACAGAATGAACTTTGACCTCAAACGTCTCCATTATTACCAGCATCATCATAACCTGGTGTATTGCTTGCTCTCTTCGTGCACCATCATCTCGGTGCTCTTGTAGTGGTTCAGTTCCTTCCTGATGGCCGCCTTGTCCTGGGGTGTCAACCTCGTCCAGGGCCTGTCTCCCTTACGATCCACCTCTTCGATCTCCGTTACCTGATTGGTCGGTTTAAACGCACGGTTAATTGGTTGGAGTAACTGATTGGTCGGTTGAAACGCATGGTTGGTTAATTGAAGTAACTGATTGGTCGGTTGAAATGCATGGTTGGTTGGCTGATTGACGTAACTGATTGGTTTAAGGTGATGAATGGATGATTAAGATAAATGATTGGAGTAGTTTATGGGCTGTGAATGAAATATTAGTTGATTGATATAAATGACTGATTGGAATGAATAACTGGTTAAAAGAGATGAATGAATGAATGAATGAATGAATGAATGAATGAATGAATGAATGAATGAATGAATGAATGAATGAATGAACGAACAAACTACGAACAATTGAAAAATTATGATTCTGGAAATATTTAACCTCAATGTAATCATTAAATTTCAGAATTTGTCTTTCCCTAAGCTCTGTAACTGTGGGCCTGAACGTTAACTGAAAAAAATTAATTAATTACAATTAATTAATTACAATTAATTACTTATTATTAATTATAAATAATCGTTAACTATAATATTTATTATTCATAATAAATCATCGTCACAATGTTCATCCCGTGCGAGCATTAGTTGTACCTACCTTTCTAACTAGGGTCCTCTTCAACTCTTCCTTATTTTTCAAGTATTCCTCCGGAGTCTGCTCTAGAATTAGCGGTGATTAGTGATCATATACACGTAACTGTATACATACATACATACACACACACACACACACACACACACAGAGAGACACGCGCACACATACACATACACGCACAGACACACTCACACACACACAACAACAAACTGAGCAAGATGTGTTTCTCTTGCAATTCGTAAAAGGATGGCCTTTGGCTCAATTTTCTAAATAAATAAAAAAAAATCATCATTACTATCATCCTCATCATTAAATCATCATCACTATTATATCAACATCATCACAATGTCATCATCATCATCATCACAATGTCATCATCATCATCATCACAATGTCATCATCATCATCATCACAACATCATCACCTGCTCAGTTGCATTCCAATCTTCCTTCTATCCTTCCTTAGCCTCCTGCTCACCAATGCACCATCCTTATCGGCTGATAATTACAATAAAATATTATATTATATTATATTATATTATACATAATAATGAAATAATATCTTTCTCGTGATGACATTTAACAAACTCTTGTTAACGTAATGGGAGAAAAATGTGTAATTACATTTCCCTCTATAACAACAACAGTTTAATAATAATAATTATAATTATTATAATATATTATTATAATATATTATAATGGTAGTAACCGTCATCGTCGTCGTCGTCGTCGTCGTCATCAGTGGCGTCGTTATCGTCAGCGAGAGTGTTGTTGTCCGGCAAGAGAAACTTGCTGGTCACCGTCTTCTTCTTATACCTGTTATGACTATATAATAAAAATAATTATCTGTCTGTCTGTCTATCTATCTATCCATCCATCCATCCATCCATCCATCCATCCATCCATCCATCCATCCATCCATCCATCCATCCATCCATCCATCCATCCATCCATCCATCCATCCATCCATCTATCTATCTATCTATCTATCTATCTAACTCAAAACAAATTTATACTATCTGTCTTTCTCTTTCTTTCTTTCTTTCATTCATTCATTCATTCATTCATTCATTCATTCATTCATTCATTCGCACACACACATCCATTCAAGTCATACTGCCTTCTCTTTAAATCGTTCTCTCATTTATTTATTATGCATACTTTCTCTTTTATTCACAAACATTCTCCATACTCTCTCTCTCTCTTTCTCGCTCACTCTCTCTTTTTCTCTCTTTAGTTGAGTAAAGAAATGCATATTCATTATACACTAATCTCACGAATATACGAGTGTCAACAATTAATTAAACCTTTGCATAGAATAACAATTAGTAGCATGAAATAAGCAAAATTAATGGCCAAACCTTTTGTTAGAGTTATTACTAATAAAACTATCATCATGACCGCCATCCCCAACGCCATTTAATAGGGATGTGCTGGTGAGTGAGTCGTCATTGTTGTCGGCGTCGTTGAGGTGATTGTTCAGCTTCGTCTGCATCTGCTTCATCAGCAACTTCTGTCTTTCCTTCTCTTTAGCGCCTGTTTGTTTGTTTGTGTGTGTGTTTGTGCGTGTTTGTGTGTGTGTATCGCACGTGTGTGAGTATGGGTTTATCATACGATATTTTAAATAAGAACAAAACACAGTAACACAAACTACAGCCCAACAAACAAAAGCAGCAGCAGCAGCAGTAGTAGCACCAACAACAGCATCACCTTTCATGGCACTTCGTTTCGGCTGCTTTGAGAGGTCAGGTTCAGAGGTCGGAACTTCTTGATACTTTGACCCCGGTGACGGCGTGCGATGGTAAACTGGAGATTTGGGACGTAGGGATGGGTAGAAATTCGTTATGACCTTTTTTGGGAAAATCAACGAATTTGGAATTTTTAAAATGAACCAATGACTGATCTAATAAACAAGCATTATTTATTGAAATTTTTGATCGATCTATTTTTAGAAATTACTAGACATTACTAATTTATAGAAACCATTGATCTATTTATAGAAATTATTAAATGAGCTATTATTAATAGAAACAACAAGTGATCTATTTATTAATATTAATAATCAAACTATAAAATATAAATCTATTACTAAATACAATACAGACAGAAAATACACACACACACACACAAACAAACACACACACAAACACAAACAAATCACATACACACAAACAAACATGTACAAGCAAAAACACACGCAGAGGCACAATAAGATTGATTAAAAGTCACAATTAAGGAAGGTTCTAACCAAATGAACTTATAATTACATAATTGTTTAGTAGGCTTAACATGCTAGCAGGTGTATATGCTAATTAAATCATATATCAATATAGAAAGATGACGAGAGAAAGAGAGAGAGAAAGAGAGAGAGAGAGGGGGGGGGGGAGAAATAAAAGAGATAGCGTTTATACAATCAGTACATATCTTCTAGGGAGAAAGAGAAAATCAGATAAAAAAAATAGAAACAGAAAATGAGAAAATGGAGAGAGAGAGAGAGAGAGAGAGAAGAAAAGAGAGTACGCACACAACCTTAATACTTTCAGTTCTGGTGACACCATTTTTGTTGATATCGTTGCCGTTGTTTACACTGTCGCTGTTGTTGTTAGTGTTATCATTGTTATTGTCATTGTTGTTTGCTGTTGTTGAATTATTTGTTGTTTCAGATGTCTTGCTGGCTGTTGCATTACCTGAGGAATAGAAAGAAATTAAAAAGTTAATGAGTGTGTGTCTCAAAGTTTTTACATACAACAAATATGTAATTACATTTAACAAAACATTGTATACTAATCTAAAAATATCATTAAATTAGTATATTTACCCAAAAGCCACGAAGAAATACCACAAACTATGTAGACAAAAAATTTGAAAAATCAATCCCAAATGAAAAAAATTCAATCTACACACCAGAATTTTGTAAAATGGCGGCCGTAATTAGATCCCTAGATGAAATTGTAATATTAGAAATGGCGTCTAAATTGTCGAGTTGAACTTTAGTAGTGGCCGGAGCCCCACTACCCTCCGAACATTCGGAAATAGGCGACGTTAGTGAGGTTAGAGAGGAGTGCCGGTTGGCCTTACTCGAGCAGAAGCAGCACAAAAATGAAGATCGATTCTCTGCAACATGAAAAAAATTTTAATTGTAAAATTAAAAAAAAAAATCTAGTCATCAATCAATTCACTTGAAAAAAATTATAACAAAAATATTATTGATGATAATAACAACTATAATAATAATAATAACGTTTGGTGTTTATCTTTAGGTGAGGAAGATCTTTGTTGCTTTTTGATTTTATTTTCTTAGCCGAATCATTTTTGGCCTCAGCAGCTTTTGCTTCAGTAGCTGCTTCAGTAGCTGTAACAGTAGCTGTAACAGCTGTTAACTTTGTCGTTTCGTCTGATTCAACTGCATTTTCTTTTTTCTTCTGTTTAGTTTTTTGGAATAATTTAGTTTTCTCTGTGGGATGGGGATTTTTTTTCTGCTGTTTTGACTTTTTTTTATCTTCTTTAGATTGTTTTTTATTCTCTAGATTTAAAAAAATTATGTGGATTAAATATTAAAAAAAAATTATTATTCATTATTTTAAAAATAAATTATTCTAAAAAAGACTATAAAGTGAATACACTTAAATGCATCTTACTTGGCTCTGGTAAATTTTCCTTAGAATTTTCATCATTTCCATTATTATCCAATGCGACAGTTTTAACTTCTGCAAATAAATTCAATAGAATAAATTTTTTTCATTGCAGAATTGTGGCCATAATTAAATCATTATTATATTTCAGGCATTTTTTAAATGCAAGAAATTAAAACACAAATTACATAAAATAAAATAGAAATATTATCAAAGAGTTGATTAATGAATTTTTGAAATAAACAGACAAAATAACAAGATAAAAAAAGAAAGTATATATATATGTGTGTGCAAATATAAGCACGATAGAATATGAAATGGTGAAATTTGAAATGATCAATTATAAAATGATCAAATACAAAATAAATTAATAAGCTATCTTCAAATAAAATGATAAACTATGATTTGTTTGTTTACATAAAATGAATTATATTCCAAAAATAGATTGAATCAAACATACTATGCTTTATTTTATTTGAAGCAAAATTTGTTTAAAAAAATTTAAACAACCTTCTGTACAAGATTCAGAACTTTCCATTTCAGCTAGTGATACATCACCATTATTTTCAGTTTTGACATTTTGGACACCCTCTTGTGAATTCTGGAGTATGCCTTCTTTATTTAAATAAAACAAAATATAACTGTTAATTATTGATAATTAATTATTATTTATCCCAAATGTTAAATGCAAAGATGAAAATATAAAAAATTATAAATTCAAAAATAAGTGCTCTGGAAAAAAAACAAAATTTGGAAAAAATTTAGATACCTTTTTTGATTGGAACGTTCGAATTAGACATGGGTTCAATGATCGATAAAATGACGTTTAATAAACTTTCGGTAAAATTTTTGAATTTTTTGACGGAAACAAACGACAATTCTGCTAAAAGATTAAAAACCGGATTAAAAATACTTAAATGAGTAAATTTTTAAAAGTTAATTTAAAAATCAAAGAACTAAAATATTTGAATTAATATCGCCGTTATAGTTTTTCTTTGTTTAGTAAAAGTAAAGCAATAAAAGCTTTCCATATAGATGAGTTTTGTGCTCAATATGATTCTCGTAAAAATTCATAATAAAGTCAATTTTTGCGGATTTTTTTATAATTGCATGCCGTAAATTTTGAAATTTCATCTCGATGCATGCATCAAAAAAATTAGATTCTAAAATTGTTCGATTTTAAATTTTTTTTCAAAATTTCCTAAAAAAATGACAAAAGTGAAAACTCAGCAATCCGATCGCGAGAAGAAGAAGTTGCAGGTCGGTAGTAGCAGCACCGTGAACGTAAATAGTAATAATCGAATGGCGAAAGCGAATCAGACGCCATCTCTTGCAATAAACCAGCAAAGAAATGATCTCTCAAGTTGTTTAGGCAGATCAGTGAAGTTGGAACCGAATCTTAACTTGACCACTAATAATTTTTCTTATCCAGCGATGCGCTATGCTACAGATGAGGAGCGTCCTGGCGTTGCTCAGCAGTTGGCTGAAATTAGGGCTCTTGAAAAGTATTTCAGTGAAAGTCCCTTAAGCAACTCTTCTTATTGCTCATCTTTAAATGGCTTTTCAAGATCCACTTCTCTGAGTGATTTGAAAGGTTATAAGCTATTTAATTAAATTTTTAACCACTGATCCAATCTGATTAGTTAATTTTTAATTAGTATTGATATAAAAATTATATCAACTCAATTCATTCAATAATCAAAGTAACTAGAACTAAATAATTCATAAAAATATTAATTATTTAATTTAATATTTTGATTTTATTAAATTTTATTTAAAAAATTGAAAATCCAGGTGAATTAGATATTTATTTAAACGGGACGATAGCAGATCCACTACCAAACGACATCCTCGGCTTGCCACCCGAAAGCTCTCGAGAAATGCAAACATTTCACTGCACAGACCCAAAGCTAGAAAACTTTCAAAGTTATTTAAACAGCGATGAGTATTTTGATGCATTGGATCAGTCGATTGGAGCAAACAGTTGGAAGAGCCCCACGTGCAAAGATGGAAGAATGGACGATGGTGCTTCCGGTAGCAACACTAACAACTTAATCAATCAAAACATATGTAGCAACAACAATAACAAAAGCAACCCTAATGTATACATGGTAAATAATCAAATGAAGGTTTCAAATAATGCTTGCTACAACGACTTGGACACAGACTTCTCGGCAAATTGCATGAATAAATCGACTCTGGATGTTAATTCAAAGTCATTCAATGATAGCATGGAGTGCCAAAGTATAATAAGACCTGGTTCTGCCAACTTTTTTAAAGTTTGCAACTATATTTCTTTATTTTTTCGGATTATGTTCTTAAATTGTTTATCCCATTTAGGAAGATGTTTATAAATTGCTTAGCTTTTTTTAAGAATTGCGCTTTTAAATTGTTTAGCTTGTTTAGGATGATGGTTTTATATTGCAATATACTTTTGACGATCCTGTCTCTTATTGAAGTTATAATAAGTAATGAAGATGTCTAATATGATCGTAAGGAGATGGTAATATTGGTGAGATGTTTGTTTCATCTTACTTGGGACACTGAAATTAAGAAGATCTTTGTAACTGGAGAATGTTTTAATTTTTCAGCCATCAATTTAGGACTGACTGACTGCATGTTTGTATGTATGTGTGGGCATGTATGTATGTATTTATGTATGCATGTTATATATGTTGGCTAGTTGGTCTTTAAATTGTGTGGTATGTATGTTTTGGAAATCAAATTGTGTGAATTTGTGGTTACTCTATATAATATACGTGGAAAAAAGCCAAAACAAAATGGCAGTGATGATTTTGGGTATTCATTGTTATAAATTTAATTGCATTTTTTAAAATTATAATTTAGAAAGATGCTTAAAGAGGATGTATCACAAAGATTACAAATAACTTATCACTAATAACTCATCATTAAACTGACCCTCACTGCCTTGTGAGTGATATTGGATCATCAAAGGCTAGGTCCACTGCTTATAACTGTGGTTGCGTAAGGAAGGGCGTCCTGCGTAAAAATTAGCCAAATAAATTACTTATAATGACAGAAGTGACAATGGCCCTCAGTATCCGGCAGAATGGCGTCGAGGGGTATTTCGGTTTCATCATAGGTAGCTAAACGGCAACCCCCGATCTCGGGAAAATGTCATCTAAACGTGTATTGTTGTTGTTGTTGTAATAACTCATCATTAATAACTCATCAACATCGCGAATATTTTCTGGAATTTTTTCACATTTTAATTACATTGTTATCAAATTTCACTTTTTTTTGTCACAAAAGCAGGAAAAAATGGACTCAGACGATGTCCAGATAATTAACACTCAGGGATTGAATGATGAAAACAACAACAACAACAAACTTGCTCTAAAACACCAAGCTCAAAATATGAATGTACAACAACAACAACAACATCTGCAACAACATCAGCAACATCAACAACAAGAACTTATGTATCGACAACAACAAATGCAACAGCTTCAGTACCAGCAGCAGCAACAGCAAATGTTCAGGCAAAGAGCCATGCAGAATAACATAGGCCATGCTAGCATGGGCAATTTCAACTTTAATAACAATAATAATAATAACACCCAAAATAATAATAATAATAGCATTAATAATGTTAATTACAACAACAACAATAATAATTGTTTGGATCCATCGGTAAAAATTAAACAAGAGATTGTTGATCCAGCATTGAAAATCACAAACTGCAGCAACAACAACAGTAACAACAACAATATTAATGACGGCCAACAGAATTTTTTGCCACCATTCTCTGTGTCTCCTTCACCATCCAAAAACACCAATAACAACAACAACAAAAACAGCAACAGTAATGTAAACAACAACATCAACAGTAATGTAAACAACAACATCAGCAGTATTGCAAACAATAACATCAACAGTAATGCAAACAATAACATCAACAGTAATGTTAATAACTACAGCATCAATAGGGCTAACATCGGCACTTCGAGTATTATGTCACCACCATCCTCTACAGCAGTCATGAGCAACAAAAACACTGCCTCTCATGATTTGGACAGTAGTATCCACAATCCAAAAACTTCAGTCAATCTCCAACAACAACAGCAGCAGCAACAACAACAATTTCAACAACATCAACAACAGATTAGTGGCAAAAGAAAACGAGAAGATACACCCTTCTGTGGTCCTGAACCTGTGGAGCCGTGCAACAATGCCATGTTTACTGCCCCATCACCAAGGGCCTTCAACTCTCCTAATTTCAACAACAAAATTAGTGAAGGAACTTCTGGGGATTTCATGCTGTCCGATGTTCAAGGTCTGCCTATAACCAGACAAATTAATGAGTCATTTGTCGAGGCTCCTGTGAGTGAAGCTTACCTTTTTTTTAATTTTCAGCCGTTTATTTTTAGATTTCTATAGATAACATGACTCTGCACTACACTAGGCTTTATATCTATAGTTTTAATTTCAAAATTTTGTAATTCTGTTTTCATGAAAATAATTTTTTTTCCTCAAAAAGGCTTCAGTTACAGCAAAACGACAAACAAAACGTAGGAAGAAAAGTGATCCGAAGGCAGACACCAAACAGAAATCCGACAACTTCAATGTTCCCACCCCGACTCCCAGTCCATATTCAAACATGCCCGGATCTGTCAGCAGTGTTTGCAGTACGCCCAACCTTAGTCAACAAATGAATGACATCACCAATAATAATAATAATAATATGGCGGCCTCTAACAAGTCCCAACAATCTAACAATAGTTCATTCAGTGAAGACCCAATTCAAAGGCCTCCTTCTATTTTGTCTATGCCTAATTTGAGTTGTTATGGCGGACCGAGATCTAACCACTCTGTGAGATCCAATCACGATGATGCTGATGGTCCTCCGCACAATCCAATGATGCTGAACAGATCGAATTCTTTGGGTCCTAGTCAGTCTAGTGGAAAGCAGTTGTCTGCTGCTGGCAACATTGCCAGCAGTTTGAATAATGTGAGTAACTGCAGTTTCAGTTCAAACAAGAGTTGTGATGACAGGAGTTTTCATGCATGTGATAATAATGCTGTCAATAAACCGATGACACCCATGCAAGATGTACAACTGCAGCCTGAAAACTCTGCTCCTAATTTTAGTGCGATGTCACAGAGTCCATCAAATATGATGCAACAACAGCAACAACATTTTGCTTATCAAAGGGCCCAGTTACAATCACCTCCATTTAGTAACGTTGCAATTCAGAGTCCTCTCGGCGCCAACAACATCCAACAACAGCAGCAGCAACAGATGATGATGATGATGCAACAACAAAATTTAATACAGCAGCAGCGAAAACAACAATCTCCATTCAACAGTGCCCCAGTCAGCAGTCTGAACAGTGCTTGCCAGCAAGGGACACAACCACAAGGTGCTAAAAAAACGGCAATGCAACAACTTGATGACCCCAATTTTGTACTAAGATTAATGGATCGTGATGAACGAGCACTTCATAAGTTAGAAATGACTACTGCACTCCAACCATCTCCATCCAAAGTTTGCAAGGCCCAGGTAAGTCCAGAGACTCCAAATACAATACAGTACATGCCAAGCTCTGAAATGAGTGCGACATCCCGGATGATGATGATGAGCAGACAGCACAATGATCAGAGGAAGATGATGATGATGATGAACAGTGGTGTTGATGATAGTTGCATGATGTCTGCCGCCTCTCCGGGGATGAGTATGGTGGACCCGCGAATGATGTCAGGCTCCCCATTCAACAACATCACTCACGAAGATAAGTTACGACTGGTCGATCAGCAGCAACTCGAATCAAGCATCAAGGGCTTGAATAGTTTAGGCGACAGTAACAGCAGCAACATTAATAACAGTAATAAAATGCAGATGACGGCAACTTCCATGCATTCTAGTGATTTCAGACGTGGTGCATCCAACTACCAGATGATGTATCCCAATCGAATGAATGGCTACTGTTCCTCCAACCAGTACGGCTACCCAGTTCAAATGTACCCTAGCGACTACCCATACGTGGATGATATGAGCAGGCAGCGAATGATGAGGCCGATGATGATGGACGACCGGATGATGATGATGCAGAACGGTGCCAAACAGCAAATGCATGCCTGCTATGCAAACGGTTACATGGGCAGTCGAAATGTCGCTAGCATTGACCCTCGCATGCGAATGTACATGGCAGATCCGTCGCATGCTACTAGGAATCCCATGTGCTACATCGACGGTCGACCGACCTGCGAAGTTCCTATGCTACAACCTGGTAGTGTGATTAGGGCGGGTGGCAACATCGGCATGTTGGTTTCTCAAGAAGGAGTGCGCATGGACGGGGAGGCCTTCCTGAAGCAGCAAGAAAAAAACGCCATGATGAAACAGTCTGCAGCTGCTGGCATGCCTAAGGGGGGCATGTACGATGACCGAATGACTGCTGATTTCAATCGATGCTCCTCCACCCGACACCCCAACATGCAACAGCAGCAAGAAATGTCCATGATGTTCCAGCAGAGGATGATGATGATGATGAAGAACAAAGCTCAAACTGCTCAACTATCACCTCAGCAGATGAGCATGATGCAGCAGCAACAAATGATGCAACAACAACAACACTTGCAGCAGCAACAACTACAGCAACAACAATTACAACAACAACAATTACATCAACAACAATTACATCAACAACAGAGAATGATGATGATGAGCCAACAATGCATGCCGTCATCTCACGATGTATACCCATGTCAAAATACCTCTTCTGATATGATGATGATGAGGAGGAACAGTCTCCAAGTCTCTGGCAACACCAACTCCATGTCTCAACAATCTTCTGCAACAGCCGCTGCTAGCAACAATAACGTTAACAGTAACAACAACAACACTCCATTATACAACATGTTAAGAACTAGTCATATAGCAGATGGGAATATTTGATGTGTAAAAATTTTTTGAATTTTGCGTAGTTAATAATAATTAGTTATTCTTATTTATTTATTTGTCTTGCACGCATGTCTGTCTATCTGTTTGTCTGTCACTTTTTCTTACTTGAATTTTATTTGTAAATTTTTTATTTCTGAAAATGAAAAATTTAAAAAAGACATTTTATTTACACTTGCTTACATGCCAATGTTCATCCTCTTAAGAACGTATGCAAACGTAACGCTAGATGTATTTTTTTTTATTATCATTTGACTCAATTCATGATTTAATATTTATAATTTAATTTTATAATTTCATGATTTAGTTAGAGAATGATTAAACTTTCTTATTAATAAACAGCAAACATTGACGAATCTCATATACATATCTATCTGCAATACTGACGCTTAGTAACATAACACGTCCTAAATCTATATTGACCATATCAATTTTTAAAGTAATGTAGCTTATTACTACCATCTATGAACACATGGATTGATGCATGTCTGTTACTACATATTGTTCTGTATGTGTTTTACTCATGTGTATATGCGTGTATACACGTATAATTGTGTACATATGTGTGTTTGATTATGAATAGGTCCGTAACTTGCACACATCTAGAATTTTATTTTTTTATTTTGGACAGGATGTTTTTTTATATAATTTTTTGCCTTAGTAGCATGCACACGACTGAGTTAAAATTAATTAATTCAGATAATTTTCTTTTTGAAAAGTTTTCTTCTAGAAGAATAAATTAACCCGATTGTAGTGATTTTTGTCAAGTCAATAACTCCCCTTTCAAATTCGTTGTAAATAGCCACTTGTATGTCATCATGTGCAGTGTTCAGTTAGATGTAGTAGTTGAAATCAGGCATTATCACGATATTTCAAACGTTTAATTTAAACATTTTAATTAATTTAATTAACAATAACCGAATCCATTTAATAATTAACTGTGATACTGACGTTAAGTTCGGAATTTATTTTGTGATAACATTCACCATCAAAGTGCTTCCGAGATAATGTTTATTTTAATGATAAATAATCTATCATTTGCCAGTTGTGTCTTAACACGATAATTTTTATTTATTTATTTATTTAAATAAACGTTTTGTAAAACACTTGTCATGCTATTGTTTTTAATTTCAAGCCATATATAAGATAATAAAAAAATAAAGGACGAAGCCAGACAAATTTATATTTTATGAAATTTTTATTCAATAAATGAACTTGTAAGACATTTTATTTAACTCTGTCAAGTCAAACATCCATTTACTCTTCTGCAGCTTCTGGCTGTTGGGGTGCACCTCCACCGCGACCGAATCCACCTCTCTGCATGGTGAAAGAGAAAGCGTTTCAAAATCATCTTTTAGTAATGCTTATGTCATAAATTTAAAAATCTAAATTTAATAAACTTCTACATAATGTAATTCCATGTGTTATTTTATTTACTAAATTGGATTGATGTTAAAATAGTTCTGAAAAAAAAACTAACAAATTGGAAGGATGCATTGGCTCCTGCACCAGCCTCCCCTTTCTTATCTGAACCTCCGGGTCCCCTTCTGTAGGCAGCCCTATCTTCCCCAACTTGTGGTCGGCCACCTGATTCTGGTCCTCGTGGTCGCCTTGCAGCCTCAGGTCTGGCTGGCTGAGCTTGCCTCTTCAATGTAGATGGCACAATCTCTGGAGGAAGGTGCAAGAAATCACGGAGATATGTAATTCCTTCATTCTTCAAATACCAATAATAATGGCGCCAGCAGAACTGCTCAGTTACAAAACCTTTAGAAACCAACGTCTGCAAATGAACATTTGAGCATTAATAATTTTATTAGTTAAATAATTTGCTGATTTTGTGCTATAGCATTCATGATTAATAGACCATTAAATTATTTTAATTAATTTTTTTAATTTTGATATAAACTTGTTCTTATTTTAATGTGGCGACAACGAATATTTAACCTGCAAGGCCTTGATGACATGGAGGTTGGGTACGTCGATCTCTGTGTGCTTCGGAGCGTGAAAATCTTTCTTGGCCACCAGAACTCCTTCTTTGAACAAATGTTCGTAGATGAGAACACGGTTCTTTTTTGGCATCAACATCTTGCTAAATTTAAGAAAACACTTCGTTAAATAACAGTTTTCAAACAAAATTAAATTAAAAATTGAAGTACACTCTGATGAACGAAAAATTACGAATAAAGAAATAATTTTAATGGCGATTAATAAAGATTAACTTATAACGAAAACCCACCAAACCTTGTTGATTTTTTATCAGGAGGAAAAAGAGAGTACACCTAATGGCCACAAGCAACGCTTACAAAAAAAGAACTAAAATATTATTTGCGGGTAATCAATCTAAGTTAACTTTCAAAATTATTATAACGAAATATTGTTATTTTATTTTAAATTCTTCAAGTTCATTACAATGATTGTTATAAAAAGTCATATAAATTATTTTTGAACGAATTTTAAGCATGTTTCTTTATTATTGCTTTTTTTGTTGCTAATGAAAACTTTGAAGAGTGCTTACAATGTTTTCGTAATTTTACTTTAAACAGTAACATAACTTATTAAAGCGATAGAATTCATGTTATATTATTTTAAACTGAAAATATAAATTATTTTATAATGGTTAAGTGAAATTCTTAACAACGTTAGCTATTGTTTTGTATATTTTCTGAATATTTTTTTACAATCTACCCTATGCTGTTGTAGAATGCGTATTGCTTGATATGATTCATTATTAAATGGCACAAAAATGTCAATATTAATGAGTTTTCAAGATTTATATTTAAATTTACAACGCCATAAATGTCATTTTATCTTATTATAGTTTAATTGGAATGATCAGATAAGATGTCACAAGGACTCAGAAAACCACCTCACGTCAGTACCAATCCATTTAGAAGTACTCTTACAGATGAATTAAATATCAATTTAAACTCAAATGCCAAGAAAAAATTAAAGCCTGACAAGAGAAACTCAAATGAAATTGAATTTTTGATGTCGAAAATTGAACACAACCGACCACAAAGTGCCTTACTAAGAGGAGTTAATGTTACACAATTAAATGAAACCAAACTCAATCCCGAACCTTATACCATTGAAGATTGTGATGATTTGATTGATGACTATCTATCACCATTAAAACTGGTTAAAATTAATCAAATTAGTATTAAATTTTGTAATATATTCAAGCTCTTTAATGACGAAAGCAACTAACAAAATCGAACAATTTCGAATAATTAAACTGAATCTCAGTTTGTCACATACAAAAAATGAACAATTTCGAATGATTTATTTAAATTTCAAAGTTTATTAAGTAAAAAATGAACAATTTTAAACATTTTGTCTCAATTTCAGAGTTTATTATCCGGCCATGAAGACCTGAGTAAAGTTAAAAGTCTTGAAATAAAAGTCAATTCAGAAGAAGCTGGCTTAAATAACTTCGGGGTTTACGTGCCTAATCTAGAAACTTTAAAACTTGTAAAAAGCAAAATACACGTTTTGAGGTTAAAATTTTTGAATTAAACCCGTTCAAATAATAAAGAATAGTTATTATAATCAAAATATGTTGAAAACTAAAAACTAAAATTCATTTTCATTTTTAAAAATCAGAGATTTAGGAAGTTCTCTGAAAAAACTGCGAATCTTATACATGCCAAGGTGTGAATTGAGAGATTTAGATGGTATCACCTCATTCGTATCAATCAGCCAATTGTATCTAGCCTACAATGATATAACAGATATCAGCTCCTTCAGTTTACTGGATAATCTTAGTGTACTCGACCTCGAAGGGTTGAAATTATAAACTCATTAAAACAAAATCTCCCATTATCATTAAATAATCCTTAAACAAAACATTCCAGGAACAATATAAACGATATATACCAGCTATCTTTCTTGAGTTTTTGTTACAAGATGACGACGCTAACATTGGAAGGCAATCCTATTTGCATCTCGCCAAATAGGGAAAGAACAGCCGATGTAGGCATTTTGTACTACTTATGCATGGTGTATATTAAAAATATTTTTTGCCACAGTTATTACTTTTATTAGGTATCAAATATAATATGCTTGGATTCCCCTTTGTATACGAACCGACCATATAAGCTATACCGTTCTTTGTTTTAAGACAACTTTAACACATTATTAATACCCATAGATATATATGTATCAATAAATAGATCCATGTTAATACGTTATCAGACTTTTTTAAATAAAATTTAAAATCTATTTAAACAATTTAGTTGATGTACTTTAGTTCTTATTTTCGTCACTAAATATTCCGGTTAATGGTTTTTTTAACTCTAGGCCACATATGACTACAGAAAGACAGTTATTGAAACGTTAGGAGAGCAGCTTGAAATACTGGACAACGAGCCAGTCGTTAGGTGTAAACATAAACTCACGCATAAAACCGGAAATGGAGATAAAACCGGAAATGTGAATGAAACCGGAAGCAAATTAAACGAAGATGACGAAATCATTTCTTCAAAAAATTCATCCCTATTGAAACTTCAAGATGACTGGAGTATGCTGGATGAACTGATGAAAGACGGAAAGCTCGACGGACTCAATGACGCCGGCGATAACAGAGATGACGTCATTTTCGAAAAAGATTGTAAATATATTTATTATTATTATTAAAAATTACAAAAACATTTGATAACTATAATTATAATTTTATTATTAATTATTTCTCTTTATAATTATTTCTCCGAATTCTCGCAGCTAGGCCCTTAACGAGCAGACCAATATCCTCTCTATCTGAGATCCACAAGATTGGGTCGGCGCTCAAGCCAAGCGGCTTCCAGAATATAAATAATAATAAGGAATACAGAGTTGGCGAAAATAATAATAAGAATGATATTGAGAGTAATAATAAAAATGACAATAAAAACGACGACGATGATGAAGAAAATGCATCTGCAACGAGGGCCTACAGCAAGAGGATATCTGACCCGATTACAGGTGGCTACAATAATGATTAATAATACGAATAATAATAAGAATAATAATAAGAATAATAATGAATAATAACGAATAATAAGAATGATAATGAACAATAAGAATAATAATAAATAATAAGAATAATAATAAATAATAAGAATAATAATAAATAACAATAATAATAATAAATAATAAGAATAATAATAAATAATAAGAAAAATAATAAATAATAATAATGAATGATAATAGTAAAGGCCAAATTTTTTTTCAGCAACACCACAGCCACCAGTGTCACCTCTGTCTTTAGCGGCGTCTGCCTATTCTGACGAATCAGGCATATATTCTGGTTTATATTCGTGTTACATGTTTTAAATGTCCTACTACTACTACTACTACTACTACTACTACTACTACTACTACTACTACTACTACTACTACTACTACTACTACTACTACTACTCCAACTACTACTACTACTACTACCACTACTACTACCACTACTACTACTCCACCACTACTACTACTACTACTCCAACTATTACTACTACTAATAATAATAATGGGAACATCTTTTATTTTTCACCATAAAAAAATATACAATGATAAATATATATATATATATATTATCTAACAATATATATATATATATATATATATATATATATATATATATAAGTTAATGTTAATTAAATAATGCGCAATGATAAAATTTTTAAAAGTTGTAAAAAATAATAATAATAATAATTGTAATAATAAGGTTGCGAGTCAGTCTGTCTGTCGGGCAGATCAGCTGTTTGTGGAAACCTTACGAGAGCCCTGAGATCAAAGAGACGCGCTTCAATTGATTATGGCGAAGAAAATGGCGCGATAAGTTCACGCGAATATCCCTCGAATGATGGAAAGACATTTGATGAGGTTAGTAATAGTAGAAGTAGTAGTAGTAGTCGTAGTAGTAGCAGTAGTAGTAGTTGTAGTAGTAGTAGTAGAAGTAGTAGTAGTAGAAGCACTAGTAGTAGTAATAGTAGCAGCTTCAGTTTAGTGGGAATTGAAATATAAAGTTGTAACAAATTAAGCTGATTGTGATCGGCAGTTGGTTGTTTAATCGATTGATTGTTTTATTGAACGAACGGACGAACGAACGAACAAACGTACTATTGAATGAATGAATGAATAAAGGAGTGATTAATTGACTGATTGATGGACTGATTAATTGACTGATTTGTTAATTGATTTATTCTTCCTCAAACTGCAGAAACCAGAAGACAAGATTATTAACATGCTAGCCAGTATGAAGTCCTTAGACGATGAAATTGACACAATGAGAAATGAAATCAAAAAGTTGTTCATTCATTCATTCATTCATTCATTCATTCATTCATTCATTCATTCATTCATTCAGTCAGTCAGTCAGTCATCCACCAACTCATTCATTCGTTCGTTCGTTCGTTCGTTCGTTCATTCATCCACTAATTCGCCATATTCTCAAAGATCTGTCCAAATGGCGAACACACGCAAGGCACCGCAAGTTCTAAAAATAAGCCACAACGACGACGATGATAATGATGCCAGTGATGATAATGATGACGACAGTGAAGATGATGATGATAATTTTAGGGCCGGAAGTACGAATACAAAACATAAAATACCTGATAGTGCGGTCACAAAACACGATGAGAACCTAAATTTCAATAAACTCGCGAGTGTACATCCCATGATGACTGATTATGACGATGGTGTTGATAGCAAGAGAAAAAATTTAATAGAAGCAGCCGGTTATTTTGTAGGTATGTTTTGAGGTGTGCTACTGGATTTGGTATTGTATACTTGTACTGGATTTGGTATTGTATATTTGAGGAATTGTATTGTATGCTTGAAGTATTTTATCGGGGTAGGATCTATTTTTTACTGGTTTGTTAGTTCTAAGCATTGAAATGTGTTGTATTTGGGCGGAATTCATCATGTATTGTGTGAATGAACGAACGTGTTGCAAATTTTTGTTATAGATCGTAAAATACAACCAAAAGATTTGTGTTGTATTTTAGGGTATTGTATTGTATCTTTAAGATTTGTATTGTATCTTTAAGGTATTGTTTCTTTAAGGTATTGTATTTTATGTATAACTTATTGTATTATATGTATAAAGTTAGTTATTGTATCTTTAAGGTTTGTATTGTATTTTAAGGTATTGTATCTTTAAGATTTGTGTTGTATTTTAGGGTATTGTATTGTATCTTTAAGATTTGTATTGTATTTTAAGGTATTGTATTGTATCTTTAAGGTTTATATTGTATGTTTAAGGTATTGTATTGTATGTATAAGGTATCTTTAAGGTATTATACCACATTACTAAATAATTTAGTCAAGTGAAAAATTTCAAGTACCATTGTTGTGTTAATAATCAAATTAATATGCGAAAATACGTGACAATTCTCAAGATGATGTTGATATTGAAAAACTTTGAAATAAAATTGTAATAAATTAAAAGTTAATATGGCAAAAATATAAAATTTAATTAATTAATTGAAAAAATAGAGCGATCAATATGTTGTCTGGAGACATAGAATATAATCAAACTCAATGATATCCATGCTGTTGGGCAATAACATCAATAATAGAGTTATCTATGAATGAATTAACCCCTCTATTTATCAATTCCTAATAAAATTATTCATTTTTACTTAGAAAATTACTTCACAAATACTTTTTTTCACTTTAACCTTCTTATTTTTCTCTTGCAATCCATCACAGACCTCTCAAACAAGACCATAACTTTTGGTTTGGAAGCTGTGGGAGAAGTGGATCTAAGGAAAGTTGAGAAGGATACGTGGAAAGCTGGAGAATCAGACGAGGAACAGGGCATAGAACAGGAAAAGAAAGCAAAATCAGATGGAAAAATATCCTCTCTCACATACGACAAAAATTCATTCCCAAATATTTCTCTACCTGAACAGCTAACGAGGCAAACCCACAAAACCGACATGCTAGTAGGAAAAACTGACAATCTTACTACTGCCACGCTAAACTCTATTAGTAGTAATAAAATTAGTAATTTTACCTCTAGAAGTAGTTGTAGGAGAAAGAAGAATACAATTACTGAATATGATCCATTGTCACTATCTAATTCAAAAGCGAATAGTTTTGATATTGGCACTCTTGGTTCGTGTGATTTCGCGAAGATTAATAACAATAAGTTAGATTTTTTAATTTATTGATTGAATGAATGATTGATTAAATGATTGAATGAATGAATGAATGAATGAATGAATGAATGAATGAATGAATGAATGAATGAATGAATGAATGAATGAATGAATGAATGAACGAACGAATGAATAATTAATCGTTTGAAATAATGGTCGGATTGTTGATTGTGATATTATAAGGCGTTATATTAATAATAATTATTATTAATAATAAAATAATGTTAATAATATAAGTTAATAATAATAAAATAACGTTGTTAATATAAGTTAATAAAAATAATTATTAATAATATTGAATGCTAATAGTTATCTTTTAAAAAAATTGCTTTAGATTAATACCAATTCCAAGGCCACAGATGAATTGTAGTAGCAAATCCAAAGCTCAGAAAAACATTGACAAATCAATTTATCATTAGATAGATTGCACACACACACACAAACACACACACACACACACACACATACATAGACTTACACAAAAAGGCACACACACGTATATGTTTATGTCTATATAGGTACACTACACAGGGCACATACACACATGCATTCATACACAAATTCACAGACACTTATTGCTGGTATTATTATTATTATTTTAATTATTATTAATATCATTAAAAAATTATTTTTGTGTTTTACGTAATTAGTATTTTCATCGTTACTACACCTAAAGAATTACGAATTCATGGAAAACCAAGATTTTTGTTATAACATTTAAAAAAATTAGTTTATATATATATATATATGTGTGTGTGTGTGTGTGTTGTGTGTGTGTGTGTAAGGGGTGCATATAGGGCCGGATTTAAGGGTGGGCAAGGGGTGTACTGTACTGACCCGGAACCACCAAAAGAGAAGGGGTCTTTTCATGAAATGGGTTTTTTAAGTTCTGGAAATGTAACTGGTTTAGTGTGTGCGCGCGTGTGTGTGTGCGTACGTGTGTGGTTATATATTTCAAAGAAAAATTAATTCAGAGGCAACTGTGATTTAATGAAATTATATATCTTGAGAGAGCATACATTTTTTTTTCTTCAAATTTATATCTTTTTAATGTCAGTCTAGACAAATTGATTAAATGAGTAATTGAATGAGTGAATGAATGAATTAATTAATTAAGGAATAAATGAATTAATTAATTAAGGAATGAATGAGTGAATTAACTAATAAACAGATGAAAAAACAACAACATGATTTCCAGAAATTGAAATTTGGCTTAAACACACACACACCGCACACACACACACGCACAAACACAACACATTAGAGGAATAGATAGGGTAGAGAGGTAGAGAAAGAGAGAGAGAAAGAAAGAGATAAACATACATCACACCACTATCACATTCAGAGATAGATTGAGAGAGAGAGGAGAGAGAGAGAGAAAGGAGAGAGAGAAAGAAAGAAACAACACCGTACATGCATGTTGAATTGAAAGGTAGATAGAGACAAATGGAGAAAGAGACATACATACACACACGACACCACAAACAGTCAGAGAGAGAGAGAGAGAGAGAGAGAAAGAAAGAGAGAGAGAGAGAGATGGTAGGTAGGTAGATATTATGAGTTGTATTAATTTTTTCTATTTCTAATTTTGTCATATTATCTCAAGTCCTTCTTGTAAACTACTGTGCGATAAGTTTGGATACTGCGGTTACCTTAACACCTCAACTCTCTCTCTCTCTCTCTCTCTCTCTTTCTTTCTATCTTTCTTTCTTTTTCTCCCTCTCTCTTTCTCTTTCTCTCTCTTTCTAACAACATCTAAAAACACTGCGCATAATATTAACAAGCAAGCATAAACAAATCATTTTTGGCCAAACTAACTCACGAATAATGATGCATTGCAAGTATAAAATATTCCGTAAACACTTGAGATTTGTGTGCGTGTGTGTGCGCGCGCGTGTGTATGTGTGTGTGTTCTACTTCTAAGTGGAGTGGTTATTTATAAAGTGAATGAATGAATGAATAAATGAATGAATGAATGAGTGAGTGAATGAGCGAGTTGAATGAATAAGAAATTGAATAAGCAATTGAATGAATGATTGATTTAATTAATTAATTAATATGCGAATGAATGAACAACTCTATACAAATGAATAAACGAGTGAGAGAATGAAAAAATTAAATGAATGAGTTAACGAACGAACGAACGAATAAATGGAAGAATGATTGAAGTGAGTCAAGTGTGTGTAATCTGCGTGCTATTTGGATGTTACTATGAAGAAGAACATGACATTTGATAGTGAATGATAACTATAAGTTAAACGAACGAAAGAATGAGTAAATGAATGAATGCATGAACGAATAAATGCATGAATGAATGATCAAGTGATTGAATGGATAAATAAATGAGTGAATTATTAGATTATTATATTACTAATACTATTGTATTATAAACTTATATCTGTCAATAAAAATACTGAGTTTTTTGTATGAAAAATGCAATTAACCATCGTATGTATATGTATGCATGCATGTATGTATGTATGTATGTATGTATGTATGTATGTATGTATGTATGTATGTATGTATGTATGTATGTATGTATGTATGTATGTATGTATGTATGTATGTATGTATGTATGTATGTATGTATGTATGTATGTATGTATGTATGTATGTATGTATGTATGTATGTATGTATGTATGTATGTATGTATGTATGTATGTATGTATGTATGTATGTATGTATGTATGTATGTATGTATGTATGTATGTATGTATGTATGTATGTATGTATGTATCCGGTCAGGGTTGTGGCCGCGTGGATTGGCGTTGATGTGGTTTTCAAAACCCGAGGGCAGGGACGTAACCTCAATCGTGGAGTATTCGGACAAGCGCTTGTTAATCTGGTTGCCTTGGTTGACCCGGCGTCCCCCTTTGGCAGGTTTTTGAAGGACGTATGGAAAAAACAAAAAAAGTCTGCACCAGTGAGCGGGAGCCACAACAAACGGTCGTCAGTAACTCGTGCAGTGCATTGCTACATTTTTCTCTAAACAGTTTTAGAATGTGATCGTGCAGTGGTACGCGTTTCAAAACAGCCGTCATCCTGTCAAAAAAAGGGGGTAATCCAAACTGGTAGGAATCTCCGAAACTGATACGGACGCACCCATTATGAGTCTATCGCTAGATGCGGCTACGTGAGGCGGACCGGTCACAACCTGTGGTGCATCCACCTTTTTCCTCGAACCCGAGCATTCCTGGCCTTTAACCCTTCCACCATGACGGCAAAGTTTCCCGTCTGGTGTGATCTTGTAGTGATTGGAGCAAACAGGGCACTGGGGTAAAACCGGGGCCATACAGGTGATTTGGTGAGATAAGTAATTTTAACAAAACAAAAATTAAAATGAACTAAGTACGTTTAAAATTTAAAGTACGAAATTATAATAAAATTCTAAGGTAATGGAAAAATTAAAGGTAAGTTATGAATAATAATATAGCAGCGCAGTTGAGGCAGGTACGAAACAAGCAACAGCTGTGCGCTATGAATTAACCATGCCAATTAAAAAATTAAAAGTTGAAAAATCTAATTAAATCAACAAAAAACCAAGGCAAACTGCGACAAAATGACGTTAAAAACTCAATCCCAGGATGATAACACGCAAAATAATCCAAAAGTTCAATAAAACAAAAGTTTAAAAACATATTAAAATACAAAATTTAAATTGAATTCAGAAATCGGCCGGCGCAAGTGTGAGCTAACGATGTATGTATGTATGTATGTATGTTTGTATGTATGTATGTATGTTTGTGTGTGTGTGTATGTAGGTATGTATGTATATATGTGTATGTAGGCATAATGTGGTAAACATATTTTTTTCTATGCATCTTTCAACAAGGATATTGCGTCTTAAAAGTTTTCCATAATATAATTATTTTATTATCATTGTAACTATTCTTATTTTATTATTATTACTATTATTATCATCATCATCATCATCATCATCATCATCATCATCATCATCATCATCATCATCATCATCATCATCATCATCATCATCATCATCATCATCATCATCATCATCATCATCATCATCATCATCATCATTTATAATTGACGTCATCGTCATTATTATCATTCATTTAACTCAATCATCTACAGCAGCTGTGACTTGATTTATCGTTATCTGTCACATACACGCATGCACACACACACACACACACACACACACACACACACACAAATATATATCTACACATACACGCACATACACGCACGCACACGCACGCACATAACGTATACACAGAGTGACTCACACACATTTTTACACATGCATGCACACATCCAAAAACTCGGTTTCTGTACTGTTCGATTCCGATTCGACAGGCTTCTTGACCATAAGATTTGTATATTATACATACACACATGTTTGCCAGCACACAAGCAATCAAACACATATATGTACACACATACGCACGCACACGCACACACAAGTACAGCTTTTCAAACAAGGCACTTGCAAACAGAATAAAGCAAAAAAAAGAATGACATGCATCAAGTAATTAAAAAATTACTTTCGAAATTGGTGAATGAATGAATGATTGATTGAGTGCTTGAATGAATGAATGAATGAATGAACGAACGTATGAATGAACAAATGAATAAAAGATGAATGAATGTAACTGCTACAACATCAGAACTACAGCATCAACATTAACAACCACAGTACAAATAATATAAACGACAAGGTTATTTACACTGACGTAAAACATAACACACACACACACAGATAAAGAGAGAGAAAAAGAAAGAAAAAGAGTGAAAGAGAGAGAGAGAGAGAAAAAAAGAGAGAATAAAAAAAGAAGACGAAGATGAGTAAGTATAATAAAAATTATTTTGTATCCAAAAATGAGTTCTTTGTATTGCATGCATGTATGTATGTATGTATGTATGTTTGTATGTGTGTATGTTTGTATGTATGTATGCATGTATGTATGTATGCATGTATGTATGTATGTATGCATAATGTAGTTGTGATATATGTCTTACTACTTAGTATTTAACTTATCTAGAGCAACACACATGATCTGTTAACCAATTACTTTAGCCTAAATTTTCAAACTCTCTCTCCATCTCTCTCTTTCTCTCTCATACCCTTCTTGCTCTTTTACACACATTCTCTCTCTCTCTCTCTCTCTCCATTTTTCTAGGTCGTTAATAGATATTTTTTTCACACTACTTGAATTATTCTCGCTTTTTATCGGTTGTACTTTACCCTCCATTCTTTCATTTGTAACTTTCTTACTCT